CACGCCAAAAAGATGTGACCAGGTCTAGGCGTGAGCTGAGAAGGCTAGCCTCTCATCCTGTGCTTATGGGAATGCCCGGGGAAGGAAAACATAGCATGTGGGAATGGGCGGCTTTTCGTGTGTGGAAAGCAGCATGTGGCCATGTGGTGGTCGGAAAATGATACCCGGAAAACGGTGAACATAGAAGACAAAATATAGAAGAAAAAAATTATAATAAAGTCTTAAAAAAATCATATTCATTTTAGTCAGTTTATAAATTAAATTTACTTATTTAATCATGATTTAAACAATTTTTTTTATTTTACAAACTAAATTTTACAAAAATCAATTCAAACATAAATCATATTACTCAATCTAACTTTTATCCAATCTGATTTTTTTAAAAAAATTTAAATTAAAAATAAGTTATTGTTTTTACTGTTAATCCAAACGGGTCTTTATTGTCTTGGAATTTATTATTATAAATGGGATCTTTTAACAATTATGTTTCTGACTTGGGTCCCTCCAAAATTGTTTACGGTAGGAATGAGCTCACGGTTTTCAAATATAGCATTTCATGTAAATATTTTTTTTACTGTTTATTATATATGGGTAAAAAAGCTGCGGTGGCACAATCAGCAAGGGTGAGATAAATAAAAAGAGAATTACAATAAAATATAAAGAAATAATTATAAAATAAGTTAAAAATTATTATTAATTCTTTTAAAACTTGTCATTATATATTACATACTCTTTAAATTGTTATTAGCAGTTATTGATATATATATACTCCTCCGATTCTTAATATAAGATCCATTTAACTAATTTAATTAGATTAAGGAAGTTAGGTAAGTTAGTTAATTGTAATAAATATGATACGTTTTTCCTAAAACAACATAATCATTTTTCTCAATACCCCCTCTCCCTCTTCTACTTGATTATGGTTGAGGGAGTATCCATAAGGGTAATTTAGAGATTATTGATAAATATAAGAAATGGGTCTTATATTTAGAACCAAAACCAACTCAATAATTGGGTCTTACATTAAGGACCCGAGGAGTATATATATATTGAGATTTAATTGTAACAAATGGCCAATCAATTCAGGAGAGACGGAGACTCTTGCCTGCACCCTCAGTCCCCACTCCTTGGATTCCATTTTTTTTGGCCAACCTCACTCATTGGGTTCCGCAATGAGATGGGCACATAAATTTTCCACGTGGGTCCCATCAAATTAACGCCCACCTCACTTTATTTTACATTTATATTAATCGGGGATTAAGAACCGAGGCATATTCTTAAAAATAATTTTAATATATATAAAATAAATACGTGGAAGAAATTTTGTTTAGACTCACTTAAAAGCACATTTTGAAGTGTTTTGTGGGTTTCCCAACCTCCCTTAGTAGGATAAAAAAACATTAAATAAACAAAATTCTGTAGTATTGAATATGGTTCAACCTCAGGGCACAAGATATTATAATGGGAGGATTATGAACTTAGCATTTAGGGTTTACGTGACAAAACAATATGCGGGGAGAATTAGTTAAGTCAGAATCAATAATTTTGAATTTAATATGATAATACCAATTAATTATATCAATTATGTTTGTCTATATACATAACAAAGATAAGAGCATGTCCTGCTAAACAGGCTTATCATTGTCTGTGGACCAAAATATCATAAAGGGAAAATGGCAAACAAAGACAGCCGAAAGAGAAAAATTATAAATAAGAACTCATAATAATATTAGTATGAGTTTTGACAATAATTTTTATAAATTGGTCTTTATGTGTAATTTTGTTATTTCACTGGTGATATACTTCCCTGAACTTATTTATAAAACAGAGAAAAAAAGAAATTTTTTTAATTATATTATAGAGTATAGAATTAAAGTTTTGATATGAATGTACAGTTTTACTCCTTATTTAGTATTGTATTAACTTTGTTCTTATAGATATAATGTATATTAAATAGAGATAGAGTTAAAAAAATTATTACATTTAAAATGAGAATTAACAAATTTTAAATTTTTTTCTTAATACGTGTAAAACATGTTGAAATTGATATATAACATATAATCATAACAATGAGTTATAAATTTATTTTTGAGTTAAAAATGCTTGTTTACTGCTGCCATATTTTGTGAATCGGTTGGGGATCTAATCGATATTATTAGCTCTAGATACATTTTCCTTTATATTTTTAACTAAAAATATTTATTCGATTTCCAAATCTTAACATACAATTTATAAATTTATTTTTAAGATTTCTTCCAAAAATTTAAAACTAAAATTAGTGTACATGTGATTCACCTCCTTTGCAAATAACTTTTGAGGCAAGCGGAATCTAGCTAGTTCTAATAAATATTTTTTCTTAATCGTTGTAAATATCCCTTTAATTTCATTCTTCCTCCTAATAACTCATTCTTCTTCTCAATTATTGACTTCTTTTATACACTTATGTTTCATTTAAAAACTGAGTACTTCATTTATCAGGGAACAAAAGTTATTAATTAACAGTAATATTCCGCTTGGATAGGAAGAAAAATTAAGAGAAAAAATAATGGGATGAGAGAAAATAGAGAGAAGGAAAATTGGAGTGAAGTTATTATCATCCGTCTTGCTTAGATGAGAAAAAATAGAGAGAAAATAAAATTAGTAAATATCTAAATGACTAAAATGTTCTTATCAAAATATATCATGTTTACGATTAAATTAAATTAAATATTGCAATAGAAAAATTATACTAACATTAGCATCATCAAATAATTTAAAATCAAGTTATTTGGTTTATATATTTTTTCAGATTATTATATTTTAAAACCAAATTATTTAATAAAAATATTGTTTTAAGATTTAAAAAATAAAAAGTGAATAACTTTTTAGATATAATAAAAATAAATAAATATGGAGAGAAAGAGAGAGAGCGACAATCAGGAAAATCTTGTTTTTCTTTCCAAATCTTTTCATATATGAAGAGAAAATTTGGAAAAAAATTAAGACACGAGGTCCATCTTATTTTCTCCTCCACTTTTCTTTCTTCCCACATTTTCACTTATATCCAAACAAAAAAAAACTTGTTTCTCCTTGTGATTTTCTCTCTAGTTTTCTCTCTTCCTTAATTTTCTCTCAATCCAAATAATGGTCAAGCTCCACTCATCGTTCAATGCCCCTAAACGCGAAGGTAGGGCAGATCAAAGTTTTCTCTCGACAGACGACAATAAACATAAAATAGATGCAGGTGAATGTATTAAAAAGTCATACATAAAACAATTAATGTGCCTGGTTTGTAGGTTTTAGAAAATGTAAATTTTAGGATTTTTTGTCCAAAACTGGAGAAAAAAAGATCTTGATTTGCTTTATTTTCTTGGTTTAATTTTTTATATTATTTTTATTAATCTCTTAATTTTTCTTAGTTTTTCTACATCTAATGCTCTTATTAAAAAATAGTATTTAAGAAAAACAATAGTAAAAAATATTTAAGAAAAAATATATAATTTTATATATTAATAATAAATAATTAATTTAATTTTTTTTAAATGAATGACAATTAATTAAGTAAATTTTATATTTAAGAATAGAGGGCGTACCATATGTGCCTCTTTCTATCCCCGCTTTCGCATCAAAGGTGTCTTTTTCAGCCAACTGTGACTCCGTGACCGACAATTATAAAAGAAGAAGCTATCGGCGAGCATGAACAAGATAATTGAACCAAGAAAAAGACAAACTTTTGAAGGGAAAAAATTTTTTAAAAAGAAAAATTTAGATAGTTTTGTTTTATGTGTTGTCGTATTTGTGTTTGCTTTTTCCCCACCCAGGGCGTGCTTGTCTTGATCTCTACAAAAAAAAAAAAAATTAGGTGTTGATTGGATTGAAATTAATGCTTAAGCCTTTAACTTAGTCATTAAATTAAATTTAAAGTTTAAAAATAAATTAAAAATATCACTAATAAGAATTTGTGACAGAAATACAGAGTAGGTGATGTTATAAAAAAAAACCTCATAATTTAATTGTAAAATAAATACCTAATTTTTTAATATAAAAATACCTCTAAAACCGGCTTTTATTTTTTTCAAAAATACCAAGAAAAAGGCCTGATGTACTTAAATAACACTAAAAATATATTTTAACAAAGTATGATTTCAGAATTCAGATCAAAACATGGACAAAGTACGTATTCCGTTTCTAGTTCAACGTTTCAAAAAAAAAAAAAAAAAGAAGTCTCTAGTTCACGCCGTAACTTCTATGTTCCCTCGGTGATTTGATTTACAATTTTAATTTAATTGTCAATATAAAATATTATGTTTTGAAAAAAAAATTTTCAAAAAACGATAGGTGAATTTTCAAAACCTATATTCGAAAATTTTCAAATCAGTTATAATGACTAAATCAGAAGTTTAAAATGTCGGGTAAATTTAGAACGTTGCCATTTACATCTTTTTTTCAAAAAAGACCAAGTTATCCTCACCGGTTGGTTGGCTATCTGAGCTCCGGCTGGTGCCAGAGCCCTAACGGTTCACCATCAGTTTTTATTTGCCTTTTTTAAGACACTAGGTTTAATTATTAAAAAGCAGTATTATTTTTAAAAGTATTATAGTTTTCTCGGTATTAAATATATAAACAATCCATTTTATCAATACATGGAACAAGCATCCTCATCATAGAAGACCGAGCTAGTTAATGCAACATATACATACAAAGCAATGCATAATATTGTACATAAACAGAAGGATTCAAACTGACATATATAGCCGCGTTTGACATGAAATTACACTTTAGAAAACAAAGGAGGAAATGAGTGAAATTAAAGTAACATTTTTTTTTTCGGGCTGACTGAACACAAATTAAACACAGGAATAAGTAAGAAGCAGATGATGACGAGTCCAGTGAAAGGGAGAGCAGAAAGGAGAAACCTGCAGAGACTAATATTATGAGAACCTCTGAGATATGTATGTCTTCCATCTTCAATGGCATTCGCCACCTCTATTTCTGGGGTCACAAGGGCTCCGTGGAGGATTGTTGGAAGGGAAGAGGCAAGAACTGTAGGGTCCGTTTTGACTTTGAGGACACTGGACGGCTGGTTTGCCTCCCTGGTTGGTCCCTTTAGTGACGGAACTGAGATCATCAGAAAGCATTCTGGCGAAGTGATGAGGGCTCATGAGCCCAGCCATATCAGCTTCATCAAAACCAAGAAGTAATCCACTGCTCTCTGATGAGTTCATGCTTCCTCCTGATTCTGCTGTGAGCATCAAGATCATCGCCATTAAGACGATCATGACGATGGCTTTCTTCATTATGGATATGTTCCTCAGTTCTTTCACAAGCTGAGCCTCTCTCTCTCTCTCTCTCTCTCTCTCTCTCTCACACAGTTCTTTATCTTAAAAAGTATATTTTAAATTATTTGATTTTAAAATTATTAATCTTAAATGATGATTTTCATACCAATGATGATTGTTTTGAAAATTAAACTTGATATGTTATGATTTAAAAATATTTGTTCAACATTCAAAATCTCAATCATTTTTTTTGTTAATAATTTTAAAGTAAAAGATTAAAAGTATACATTTTAAATTTAAGAAATCAAATTGAAATATTGTATAAAATTAAAGGGCTAAAAAATTATTTAGCCAATAAAAAGTTACTTTGAATCTAAATATAATGTCTTGATCCTAATGAGTTCTGGAACAAAACTCACCTAAAATTTTTCATCAGAAAACAAAAATAAATTACTAATATAACAAATAGATTTCAAATAACAATAAAATAAGTAGAAATGTAGTTTTAAGAAAATATTAAAATAAAAATTTTATGAATTAAAATGTGAAAAAAAATGAACGAAAGGAAAGGGTTATGAATAAAAATTTATAATGCAAAAATTGCTTATTAGTAAAAGCAAAAATTTTTTTTAAAAAAACATAACTATAAATGTTGTTCTTGAAAAAGGAAACCAAAATTTAGAAATTTGTGCCGAATAAAAATTACAAGGATTTGAGTTAAATCAAAAGAAATGATAAAGACTTGACAAAATTAAAAATAAAATATAGGAACTTGATTTTAATAAGATGAAACTATAAAAGACTTACAAATTAATTTTTTAAATTTTAGTAAATTATTAAATATTTTTAAGTGATTAGATGCAAAATGAAAATACAATTTTCTATATTTACATTTTGAAAACTAAGTTGTCAAATTGAGATTGTGTACTAAGCTAGGGGACACTTTTACCCTTAAAAGCATTTGTGTAAGAGGCTGACATCCTCGTATTTAATAATGGGGAGCCATTGACACACACAAGTTTAATAACGAGTTAAGATTAATGTGTGTGTGTGTGTGTTTATTTTACATGATTGCTTCACACTTGTCCATCCACGTATGCAATCCACTGCTGATACTGACGATGTTTTTGCTTTGCTTGCAACAAATGCTGGGAGAATGTTGCATAATCCTAATGATCTTTGCTGCAGGATTCTAAAGGGCATCTATTTTCCAAATGATAGCTTTATGGAAGCTAAGAAAGGAGAAAAAGCATCGTGGTGATAGGTTAGCATTCTTGAAGGCAGAGATTCATTAAATAAAGGCTTGTTTTGGAGGTCAGGGACTGGTAGTGATATTAGAATCTGGACTGATAGATAGATCCCAGATTTACCTGAAGGAAGATTGGGTAATCCTCTTACTGATGAGGAAGAGAGGAGATTTAAAGTTGATATGTTCGTGGTGTCGGCCAGCTGGGGTGAAGTTCTTTTTTCAAAAAAATAAAATAAAATAAAAGGATATTTTTATCGTTTTTCTTGAGTTTTAAAATTTTAATTTAGGCTTATTTTCCTCCCCATCATATTCAAGTTTTAGTTTTCTGAATTGAGAATTGACAATCTCAGGATTTTTTTGGTTCATTTTCCCTATCTCACTTTATTTTACATTTATATTAATAGGAGATTAAGAACTGAGGCATATTTTTAAAAATAATTTTAAAATATACAAAATAAATATGTGCAAGAAATTTTGTTTAGACTACCTTAAAAAGCACATTTTTAAGTGTTTTGTGAGTTTCCCAAACTCCTTTTAGTAGGATAAAAAACATTAAATAAGGAAAATTTTGCAGTTTGAATATGCTTCAACCTCAGGGCCCAAGATATTCTAATTGGAGGATTATGAACTTAATATTATCAGCTCTAGATACATTTCCTTTATATTTTTAACTAAAAATATTTATTTAATTTCCAAATCTTAAGATACAATTTATAAATTTATTTTTGAGATATCTTCCAAAAATTTAAAACTAAAATTAGTGTACATGTGATTCACCTCCTTTGCAAATAGCTTTTGAGTCAAACGGAATCTAGCTTAGTTCTAATAAATATTTTTTCTTAACCTTTTTAAATATCCCTTTAATTTCATTCTTTCTCCTAATAATTCAATCTTCTTCTCAATTACTGACTTGCGTATCTGCTTTTGGAAAAAGCAGAGCCAACCTAATTATTAGCTCCCACCCCCCGGGGGACACGTCATTCTCTCTGTGTTCTTTCATACACGTATATTTCGTCAAAAAACTGAGCACTTCATTAATCAGTGAACAAAAGTTATTAATTAACACTAAAGCTCCATTGATCCCCTAAACATGAAGGTGGGGCCGATCAAAGTTTTCTCTCAACAGACGACAGAAAGATAAAATAGATGCAGAATGAATGCATTAAAAGTCACATACAAACAATTAATGTGCATGGTTTGGAGGTTTTGGAAAATGCAATTTTAGGATTTTTTGTCCAAACCGGGAAAAAGATCTTGATTTACTTTATTTTCTTGGTTTAATTTTTTTCATATTATTTTTATTAATTTCTTAATTTTTTCTTAGTTTTTCTACATCCAATGCTCTTATTAAAAAATAATATTTAAGAAAAATACTACATCCGGTCTTTAATATAAAACCCTATTTAACTTTTATTTTGGTCCTAAATATAAGACCTCAATCCACTTTGTCTCTCATATTTATATTTTTTTTTTTTCCAAAATAGCATTTCTAACAATGATAGTTCTAATCAATACACTTGATTAGTAAGGATATTTTAGGAAAGACAACACCTATTTAAGATAAATAACTAATTCAACTTACTTTCTTAATCTTTTCAAATTAGTCAACTGGCTCTTATATGATAAAAAATATTTTAGGAAAAAATATATAATTACTATTTCTATCCCTCCTTTCTCATCAAAGATGTCTTTTTCAGCCCGCTGCGACTCCGTGACCGACGAGTTTAGAGGCAGAAGCTGTCGGCAAGCATGAACAACAATTGAATCAAGAAAAAGACAAACTTTCGAAGGGGAAAAAATTTCAAAAAGAAAAATTTAGACAGTTTTGTTTTATGTGTTTGTTTGTTTTTTTAAAATTACAATCAAATCCCATAAAAAAAATAATTATATAAAAGTTTCAATAACAATCTCAACAGCCTATAATGACAAGTCCTATAATAAGAATGACAACCTCTAGAACTTGTTTTTTAATTTTTTTCTTTACTTGAGACCTCATTATAATTCTCTCTTATTTTTTCCCCACCTAGTATGTGCTTGTCTTGATCTCTGAAAAAAAGGAAAAAAAAAAAAAGGAAGAAAATTTAGGTGTTTGGATTGGATTGAAATGCTTAAGTTTTTAACTTAGTCATTAAATAAATTTAAAGTTTAAAAATAAATTAAAAATATCAACAATAAGAATTTGTGACAGAAATACAGAGTAGGTGATGTTATAAAAAAAATATGCCTTCTAATTTAATTGTAAAATAATACGTAATTTTTTAATATAAAAATGCCTCTAAAACGGGCTTTTATTTTTTTTTCCAAAAGTACCAAGAAAAAGGCCTCACGTACTTAAATAACACTAAAAATATATTTTAACAAAGTATGGTTTCAGAGTTCAGATCAAAACATGGACAAACGTACATATTTCGTTTCTAGCTCAAGGTTTCAAAAAAAAAAAAAAGTCTCTAGTTCACGCTATGACTTCTATGTTCCCTTGGTGATTTGATTTATAATTTTGATTTAATTCTCAATATAAAATATAATGTTTTGAATTTTTTTTGAAAAAATGATAGTTGAAATTTCAAAACCTAGATTGGCAAATTTTCAAATCAATTATAATGACTAAATTAAAAGTTTAAAATGTCGGGTAAATTTACTTTTTTTCAAAAAATATCAAGTTATCCTCACAAGGTGGTTGGCTATCTGAGCTCCGGTTGGTGCCAGAGCTCTCTTGGGTCACTGTCAGTTTTTCTTTGCCATTTTTAAGACACTAAATTTAATTATTAAAAAACAATATTATGAGGGCTCATGAGCCCAGCAATGTCAGCTTCATCAAAACGAAGTAATCCACTGCTCTCTGATGAGTCCATGCTTCCTCCTGATTCTGCTGTGAGCATCATGATCGTTGCCATGAAGACGATCGTGACGATGGCTTTCTTCATCATCGATATGTTCTTCAGTTCTTCCACAAGCTGAGCCTCTCCCTCCCTCCCTCTCTCTCTTCTTTGATTGTAGGAAGGTACAACGACACTTCTTCAGACTTTCAGGTCAGGGCATTAACTTGTACTTATTATTATTATTTTTTTGGCCAAATGTGGGGCAGCTCTTAATTGGATTATGAATGATAAATAATATGCTGGGCTTAATTTTGAGTCACGGTAGAAGATTTTTGAAACTCTTTATTTTTTTTTTACTTATATTCTTTTTAATATTTTATTTTTAATTTTGTTTATATTGATTATAGTGAAAAGAAAGGGAATGGACAAGAAAAAATATATCACTTATTTAACAACGGCAAAGATAACAAATTTTATTCATTTAATTTTTTTTATATATGAGAAATTACTACAAGTGATAAATAAAAATAATCAAAATAAAATTTTTATTTAGATCCTAACTATAAAATAAAAGATTACTTTAAGCTTAGAAACACGTCCCATCCTTAAATGGAAATTAATAGTTTTTTATTTATATCTTAACTATTCAAAATAAAAAATTAGTAATTTGTTTTTGTTGCTGTTATGTTTTTCTTTTCTTGCATGTGGGGTTGTATTGTGTTTTTTACTTATCTGCTAGACTACGACTTCTTAATTGGCCTCTGGTCAAGGCAAGGAATTTAATATGTAACATTTTTTTATTGGTAATATATTGTCTTCATATAAAAAAAAACAACAATAAAAATAAGTAAAAAGTAGTTTTTATATATATTAAAATAA